GAACGAAATATTTAAAGTTGGTTTATTAAAAAAAATAAATACTGTGTAACACGCAAATCGTGTTATAGTTCGTTTTGTAATTATTGTAAATTAAGACTTACAATGGACTTGTAATCACTGTCTTCAATGTACTGTATGTTAAATCTATGTACCGCAAAACAAAAATGTTTAATAGCTAGTTAATTTAATTTAGCAATCAATGTATATGTAAATCACTGCCAATGGGAAAATTAATATAAAAATTGTTCTTAATCTCAAGATTGAAAAATCGTACTACATATACTTACATGTTGTTTAACAAATAATAAAATTATGAAGAACTGCATTGTTTGATATCAACCCCTTTGTCTCGTTTCCTATTGTCCTTTTTCAAACAATATATAATCAGCCGTTAAATTCTGCAGCAATGAAGAATGTAGTGAGATACCAGAGTCGTGCACATTTATCCAAAAGCTAACTTTGGCGGAAAACATAAAATATCTGGTAAGTAAAATACGCCTCGGAACACAGCAGCTGAAAAACCATTTGGCCATAGATCACCATTATCTTTTAACGGTTAAACATTAATATACAGTTCCATGATAAGACCAATGCCTCTACTCCTACAGACAGAGAGATGCTACGGACGTGGGACCACCGATTTTAACGAAACTTTTTTTTGGTAATACTAGGTCGAAAAATACACTCAAAGACAAAAAACCGAACACTCGTATTTTGTTGTTTATTTCAAACCATGTATTTTTATTGTTATGTTAATTACCACGCACTTATTTTAACGTATACCAAATTAAACGAGATCGGAAATTTATAAGTTTTAATAAAAATTATTTAATTATGTCGGTTTTCAAGGAAATTCACCAGAACACCAGCAAATCATTTATTGATAACTAAACTTTAACTAACAATTTATTACCTAGTTGTACTAGTAATATATCACCAAATATATCTTCCCAGAGGGCCCAAGGCCTGTTTCAGACGAGGCGGTTTGGTTGATTCAACCAAGTTGCCCGGTTGACTCTCACCTAGTTTACTGCCGTGTGAAAACTCGTTCTTTGCTGGTTTCAAACCAGGCAACTTGTGGAATCAACCTCTCTTCCCAACTGGAGGTCAGTACGATATTAGAACCCGATGAAGCAGGAGCACTTCTTGTACTTGCTCTTCTGGTGCTTGCTCTTCTGCAAAAAGAGAAGCAAAAAAGGCGGAAACCTAGTATTTTTCAAGAGCGGGAAATACACCCGGGAAAGGACATCCGGAGGCAGCCAGGCTCTGTTCAAAAGGCAAACGCGGCCATTTGAACGTTTTACTGATTGTAAACTGGAGTAAAAGAAGTATACAGACCTATTCACGAAACCTACTAAGATGGCTAAATCCTGAAAACGACGAGGATGATCGCACACAAGCAATATCGTCTACTTTGGTAACGCTACAGTCATTTCCGTAAATATCGCAACTGCTAACAATCGAAATTAGTGGCAAAACCCTGCTAAATTGCAATTAACGGTAAAACTCTATTATATAGGAATGAATTTGGCCGATACTTTTGGTACGGTATCAAAACAAAAACAAAAAATTAACCAACAATGTCAAACCACAAGGGATTCGGTAATAATTTGCAGTCGTAAGATAAGAGAGGGTGTCAATCAGTAGTATATGCTGAATACAGCAACGGGATGACTTTACCCCAAGGGAGTCCCGCGTCCAGGCTGTATAAAGGAGTGAGAGGATCCGACCAGTAGTCTAAAGCAACCAGGCAGAACTTCAGGATGAGAAAGCACGTAGAGGGTAAGATGCCCTTGAGTTTCCAGACCAAACCAATATCAAGGCTTGGGTTGTAACAAAAAGTCTGAATATATTGAGGATTTATATAATAAAATTGATAAAAGTGTGGGTTTATCTGTTTGTATAAAATTGGGAAACGGGCGCTTTCTCACAAATACTGTTGTGCTACTTCCCTCCAAGCTTCGCTTCTTTTAATTTTGTCGCTATACTGCTCACACATCATGTCCCATAATGCGGGACTAATTCGAATTTCTTCAATGAACTGCTCCACATTGAAACTGGTAATTGCAACGCTTTCCTTGGTGAACTCAGTTGACTCAACTAGGTGACCGGTGTGAAGGACGAATGCCGAGCCATGTCTTTTGGGTTGAGACAATCAGTGGGGAAGAGTACGTGAGCGGCACTTGTACCTGCTGTCCACTCCCCTGGGCGGACGAGTTGACTGCGTGTGGAGGAGTTGGGGCGGTTCCCATCATTTGCTACTTGGTCTCCTAGGCATCGAGCGACCGGAAAAAGGATCAACTTTAACCGGTTTGAAACTGTTCAACCTTGTTGGAAGCTGCGAACGATGTCTAATCCGTCTCTTTTCATGTTCCATAAGTATTTTACATGTAGCATGTTACGAGACGTTCTGGCAAATTTATTATGGTAATCCCTGCATCCTCCAACTAATGGGTGACCGAGGTACATTATCATGTATCAACACGAAGTTGTTCTTAACAAATGGAGCCAATAGGACCACAGCATCTAGAAGAACTTCCTCGATATATAGCGCAGTAAAAGATCCATTCTGTATGATAATCATTTCGGTACGGGCATGGACGTTGATTCCCCCCGATACTATAACTCACTGTATTTGAAAAGGGAGTCTCACGAAATGACACATGAAGCAAAGCGTTCTCCATGTCTTCTTCACACATCTGTGAAGAAAACAGCCCCCCATTGTTCAAGTATCCATGCAAGGTGCTAATTTGCGAATAGTCGCGTCTGCTCGATACCTCTCCAGTAATAGAAAACCTGGTGTAGGGCTCTTAGAGACTAAGCTATTTTCACAAGCTTTCTGATGACTATGGCTGTGAAAAGGGCTGGTGTTTTTCGTAGCGTCGAGACGATGAATCGAGGCCGAGACCGTGTGCGTGGTGCCGTTGGTACTTGGTAGTTGTCTGTGACCCCGAGGAGTAAACCGTTGGCTGAGGTCCGGGACCGCGAGTCGGTTGACTAAGAGGCCTAAGGTACTGGAGTGCAGCAATTAGCCGAGAGAAGCAGTTGGCGTTTATAGCCAAGTCAGCTGTTTTTAAAAGGCGAGAATCAGGCTAATGCTGCGAATACCCTTGCTGTCGTCGACGAAATGTGTGAGATTTCGTCGGGTCGACCAGTCTGGTTTCAGTGGAGCAGTGCCCCTGCTACAGTGACAAATAGCGGTAACGTGGCCACTACAACTGTTTTGAGCTCACCCTTAAATTTCCGATCATTTGAAATTGACTACCTATCAAGGAAGCCGTTAAATGACGATTCATAGTGCGGTAAGAGCAATAAAACGAACGTCTCTAGGCATTGTACATCGCTGTCGACCACTACCTTCAATCGAGACTTCGGTGGTCCTAAACCGCTATAAATCATCGTGGATGGTAGAGCACGGCACACACAGCACTTGGGCTACGTCCGAACGGAGTCTTATTTTTAATCCAATGTCTGATGGCAGTTTGGTATGACATAAAAGGGGGTTCAGGGTTCATCTTACTTTCCAGGCCAATTTATCATGTTATATGTTACCCCTTTGCCCTGCCCCTTACCCAGAAAAGGGTAGTTTGTTGTTTTCCCCAATGTCTGACAAGGCCCATAGTGTAATCTCAAGCAAATCTAGACTTTACCAACGATGCATACCTCAGTACTGCCTGGCTGCCCGAGTAGATGGCTAGACTTCTATTAATGTTACCAAGCCTTTTAATCTCCTTGGCACAGTGTTTAACAGCCACAGTCTCCGCCAGTGGCATATTGCCCAAGTATGAGAAAAAGCTTCTAGCAGTCATGCTGGGGCAGACTTGTAATTTTCTTGTCTTGCAGTTTGCAATACTTAACTCACAATATCCTCATAGAAATTTAATTAGAGAGGGGTTGGTGGCCACAACTGCTAAGGTGTTGGCACGACGCTCTTCACTGTAAGGTAAAGGTCATGGGTTCGAATCCGACGGCTCTGATTCTGAATCCGATATACTTACTTTTTTTTCAAAAAACACCCGCACCCCAAGAGTTGATATGCATGAAAAAATAATAGTACTAATAAGAGGCAAAGCACTAGACTTTCAAAATTATTGTTATTGGTAAATAAATAATTTTTTATGTGTATCGTTTGTTTCCTATACAGTATGTTAAAAGTAAACTTTCAGAAATGTAAATAATTTTTAAAAAATTGAAAGGGATAACTTTATAACCTATATGGTAGACATGACCACTCGAAGGTTAAGCGGTTCAGTAAACACAAACGTTTAGAAGTAGCAGATAAAAATAGTTATATTATATTATAAAATATTTAAATATTTATATATTTAAATATTTATATTATAAAATATTATTTCAATACATAACAGGGTACAATTAAATAAAACTCCGTTTTAGAAAAAGGGTACAGGGCTTTCTGCCCATTTTATATCCACGATATTTATTTAACTATTTACAATGTAATATTAATATCTATGTTCACTTTAATGCAAAAAAATGTTCAATATGTACAAAATGAATACATTTAGTTTCGAAACAGACCTAGCAGGAAAAAATATTTACAATTTTTTCTTTATTTCTTCACATATAAAAATTGACTATGCTATTGATTAAGCATCTTCCTCTCTTAATTTGTACACTTTCATATAAATTAATTGTTCTAAATAAAAATTTTAGAGGTGATTTGGCTCATTTCAATAAAAATTTATATATAAAAATATTGCTATTTAAATTTCAATGTTTGTCCAATTAGCATAAATTATAAAAAGAAATTAATTACATCGTAGAATTTACATTCTGATAAATAAAAACAAAAAAGTAGGCGTGAACAAATATCAGTTTATACAATATTTTGTGATGATAAAAATACAATACCAAGTAAAACAAACTACATTAAATAAGTTTATAAAATTCAAAATATTATTTCTCACGGCTTTTTATATATACAATCATATATACAATTATTGTTTATCAATATGGACCTCCTATTTTTAAGTATTGCACTTGGATTGATTTTTTTTTTTTTTTTTTTTTTTGATTATAAAAAACATGCATATAAAAATAAAATGTCTTTTCAGCGGTTATTCCTTGGTAGATGTAGAAGGCGACTGAGTTTGTACTGTATTTGTAGAATCTTGTTGAACAATATTGGCAGTTATAACTGGTCTAACACCACTAGGATTAATGATACGAGCGAACACCTGCTGCCTGCCTAAAATTCAAATATGACAATTAGTAATTGGAACTGGAAAATAAACTTTATTCTGGAACTTCTGGAGATTCAAGCGGGATAAGGCAGTACAAAGATGTATGTTTACAAAAATATATATAAAATTGTATGTGGGAATATATCGGCCAACAAAAAACATACATGTAAAATTAAAATACTCTACTATGGAAAATAAACTGAAAAGGTTAAGAAAATAAACTAAAATGGGTAATAAAAAAAACAAAGAGTATTTTAAAAGTGCTAATAAGGGGGGGGGGGGCAGCTGGCACAACAGAACTGATGTAAGATGGAAAAGCAGCATCGGGAAATCTGGGAGATATTGAAATTCCAGTTCGGAACTGATGGAAGATGGAAAAGCACCATCAAGAAAGCTGGGAAATATGAGGCTTTCAGGACAGCACTGATTAAAAATTAAAAAGCAGCATAAAAAAATCTGGGAGATACGAGGCTTCCTTGATAGAACTTTTAAAAATACCTTGTGTTTGCGAAGGTTTTCCTTGTGCAATAGGAATGACTTTTAGACCCTGTAGGGTTTTTAAAGCACCAGGTGGTATCAATATCTGTTGAGAACCCTGCTGAAGGACTGCAACTGTGCCCTGCTGAGATCCGCCAACAAGCAGCGTTTGGTTTCCAGAGTTTCCGAGGATGACATTCTGTAAAACAGCCTTTTGATTATTTCCCCTGGTATGAACTCTTAGAAATGCAAGAACAGCTACCTGTCCCTGGACTGTCGTGGCGTTTTGAGGTTTGCTGGCGAGAAGGACCTGCTTCCCGGTTATTTGGGCAAGGTTCAACCCAGGTATTCGGACACCTTGCCCCGACGCCAATTTTGCAACTGTACTCGAATCGCCAAGCGACGAAACAGCAACTACTCCTGTATTTCCTCCTGTCGAAGCCACAACCTAGACACGGATTATTTTAATTTTATATAAAATTAAAAGTGAATTCAATAAACAAACCTGTGCCATACTGGTCTGCACTACCCTGCTTTGAGGAAGTGAAACAACGTACTGTGATGATAACCCCGCGCGGCTGACTGTTGGAAGTTTCACACCAGCTAAATAATCACAGAATTTTTTATTATTTATTACCAAAATGCTATTTAAAAGAAAAATTGAATGCAATCTCATATGCCAAAATCGCCCCTACTCTGGACATGTATTTATTTATTTTCTTCTATAAGCATTTTACCTATAAACTATTTATATTTTTAATTTATATTATTTATAAAAGTTTAATCGATTACTATATCTTGCAGTAAGAAATTAATTTTAGAATTGATATGTTAATTGATCAATAATTTATTAGAGTATTTTATGACTAAACAAGTAAAGATTCTATCATTTCACAGGCATGTATGACCCTGATGAGGACTGTTGTCATGGGAACAAAACCCATAGTTATTATTTATCGTATCACAAACATAACATCGGTTGTTTCTGATCATTTAGATCTCCAGTTTGTTGTCAGACGTGTTTAGGCTTCTCTCAATCTTCAGTAGTGGGTGTGGCAGAAGCAGTTAATAGAGGTTAGATGGCAAGAAGTCCAAATGCACCTGACAGACCAAAACAGCGAGGATATACCGATCAAAATGATCCGTTCTTCACCTCTCAGAGTTATGTGAAGTAACTTATAATAATACAGAATGAAATTTAACAAAAAACAATTCATCAAAAACAAAATGATTTGTATTACTGACAAGGGGAGGCCACAGATGAGGGAACACCGATTTCAATTAAACTTTCCAACTTTTACTGTTTTTATCATGTTATTCTTAATAATACTTATACTCAATTAATTATACATAATTTTAGTGGCATATTGAGGAGAAGGTTGAAATCCTGCCTGTGGCACAAATTTTTCGTTTTGAAAAAAATTCTTTACAATTAATTGAATATATATCAATTAAACTTTGTTTGGTAATGCTAGGTCAAAAAATATTACAATGTGGCTGAGATTTCTTGCCAATGGACCGTAGGAATCAAAAAGTATATATTTTAGGTATTTTTTTTTTTAAACTTGGTTATCTGCCTTTTGTATTTTTTACCGTATTTTTTACCCAGCATTAGAGAATAATATGCAGACTGGAATTAACAAGATTAGATTAGATACATAAAAAATAATAAAAATGAAATGTTATATATAAATATGATATAACAATAAAGTAGGTCATTTTTTTAAATTTATTTATAAGTTTGAATTTGTTTTAAGCACCCCCTTCTTTCAAACCCTTAGATATGTTTTTTTTTACATATTTTTGACCCTGGTACAAGACAGGGGCAATTATTTCCTCTGATGTCCAGTTTCACTTTAAAAAAATTTATTACTCTTATGAAATTTATCCAAAGCCCATGAGCCTATATCAACAACTTTGAAGAAAAAATTTTCCCTGAAATTTGTATTTGAGGGTATTTTGTGGTGCAAAATAGAAATATGAACTTAGTTTCTTTCTAAAATAATCTTTTAACCTTATTTGTACATAGATAACAAAATAATAATGCATTGTATTTATATTTTTATATATCTGGTGTTTAAAAATAGTTTTTAAGTATTAAAAAAAAAGTTGATATTTATGTTTGGCAACCTGAAAAGCCCTTGGTACAAAATTTGGGGGAAATAAAAATATCAATAATTTCTATCAAATTCTTCTGATTTTTTCGAAAATCACAAAAACGGTGATGAATTCAAAATTACTCCAATAATTTGTGGAAAACTTTGGGGTTTAGGACCCTATAACTTACTGGTTGGTAAACTGCACCCACATGCCCACTAACTCATCAACATCATACACACCCTAGGGTTACCGCCCAAGAGAACCTATCCCAATGTGTGATGTGAGAATATCAATCCAATGTGTGAGAAGAATATAAGAAGGTTAGTTGTGTAATATGTGTAAAGTTTGTGGTGAGAGTGAATGTGTGAAGTGAGAGGGTCGATGGGGTACTCAATATTCCACCATCGACCCTCAATTAGGTTAGTTGTATAATATGTGTAAACAGTGATGGAATAATATTGAGTAATCCACCACCCTAATTGAATGAGTGGTATGTAAAAAAGAGTAAATATATAAGAATGAATACATGTGGGTTCGGAACTGCATTCGTTGGGTGCTGAATTGGCCTAGCTGTTGGTAGCACACCCCCCACATAACCTGTTTGCATGTATGTACGTAATGTTCAGATTTGAGCCTATACAAATCCAAACCTCATTTAATTCAATCATACATTTTCTTATTCTACATTTTTAAAAAAATAATTGGTCAATATAATAACCATGAAAGACATGCATACAAAAAAGGCAGTTTTTCCCCTTTTTGAACATGTACCTCTTTTTTTCTCTCTTGGCTCCTAGGGGCCAATAGCAAGAATACTTGGTATTAGTCTAATATTTTTTGACCTACCTTCCTAGATTGGTGATCCCACATTTGTAACCTCCCCTTGTGAGTAAAATTCACAAATCTGTAAAGTAAACTATTGATCGGGGAGAATTTTGTAAAATAAAATAGTACTTGTCAGGTTATGTGTTAACAGGCAAATGCGAAAAAGATTTAAATGCGTTCAAACAAAACGTGAAAAGTTGCAACTGCCGATAGAAAAAAAAGGATGCTTCGGTTATAAATCAGACAGAAGTGGCATGCAAGACGATACCTTGAGTGACAGTTTGTTGTTTGTTGTGCTGTGCTAACAGGCTTTCCATTGTGAGTACCGGTGTTTGGACACTAGTCACCACTTTTGCCATAACCGGGGTAACCGTGGACTGGTTCTGAGGCTTAATCAGGCTTGTACCGCCAACTGTTGAAACAGGTTGGCCGCTGACTGCAATCCAATCAATTTTTGGGGCTATTTGTGATTTATTTATTTATTTATTTTAGTTTAGTGTTCAATATGGACTTTTCAAGCACCGATGTTTTAAGAGAGAAAAAACAAGAAGGAACGAATTTGATGCAATATGAAAATTTTTACCATGCGCTACAACTCTCGGATGGGTGAGCAGGCTGGTGGTTGCGGAGGTCCTCTGCTGCTGTTGTAGCTGTTGAAGTTGGGCCAGAGTTAATTGCTGTGGTTGAGACTGCTGTAAAAAAAAATTATTTACATTTTCATGTCCAGATTGTTTACACAGGTTCAATGAAAACATAATTAATAGAAATGTATGGTTTTCTTATTTTATTGTATAAATTAGTAGGTTTTATTAATAAAGTTTTAAAAACTTTTATTCTAATTTAGCATTTGCTAATTAATTGACTATTTTTGATGCCCCTACAAAAAAATATATTACTTTTTTATTAATAAAAGAATAATTGACTCGATGGAGGAATATTGAGTACTCCATTTACCAAATAGAATGAATGCAATGTATATAGGGGTGAATGTATTTATTTGTGTGAATTCACTCAGAGTTGAAATGATCGACCTGTTGGATGCCCCCTAAAAAAAGTATGATCAAATTTGTCTAACTTTGCCTAGGGTCAAAGATTGACAAAATCCATGAAGCATTTAAACATTGCCTTCCAATGAAAAAAAGAAATTTACAAGAAAAACACCAACCTTCTGTGATTGAGTGATGACCTGAACTGATTTCTGATCCGACTGTTTCACCATGATGATCTGCTGCTGTTGCTGTTGTTGCTGTTGCTGCTGCTGTTGTTTCAGCAGGATCATCTGTTGCAGCTGCTGCTGCGTTATTTGAGTCGTTGTACCCTCCCCGTCTCCCGAGCCCGACTGTTTCACAAGTATCATCTGCTGAACCGGCTGCTTAACTCCATCGCTTGTCGTCACAGTCGCCCCTTGCTGTTTAACCACGATCATCTGCTGCTGCGGCTTGTTCGACTTCTGCTGTTCAACAACCATTTGCTGCTGTTTAGCAATTATAAGCTGCTGCAACTGTTGTTGCTAATTGAAAACAAAAAAAGAAAAAAAATACAAAAAAGCCAAATAAAAAAGGGCCAAATTATAATGAAAACCTTGTCTGGAAAATAGAAAATAAATCTAAAAATTACCTGTATTGTAGCAGTGTTGTTTCCTTGCTGTTCCATTTGTTGCTTGTTAAGCAGTTGTTGGAGTTGTTTCTGTTGTTTTAAGGTGAGCTGCTGCGAGTCCATGACAATCTGTTGCTGATTTATGACTATCATTTGTTGGCCTGAATTACCCTGCTCGCCCGGGGCCTGTTTCATGACTATAAGCTGTTGCTGACCAGGTCCTGCAGGCTTCTTCAATTGACCCTTCTGTATTATTTTCTGATCAGAAATGATTGGCTGTTTCAGCTGTATTACATGCTGCTGTTGGTTCACTTGTGGAACTCGCTGAACTGTTCTCACTATTAAAATAATATAATAATATGGAGATTCTTGAAAATTGTAATAAGATTTTAAAAAAAAGCTTACCAGTACTTCCACCAGCTTGTGATGAGATGACTTTAACAATTGACTTTCCTGCTTGCTTTGCAACTTGATCAGCAGAAATTGTCACAGCTTGAGGCTGTACTTTTTTAATCTAAACCATAAAAATGTATTTAATACCCAAACTGCATGAAGTTATACGTAAAAATTATATTCAATTTTACCACATTTTGTGTTTGAGTTCGTACTAATGAATCCTGTAGTACAGTCCTCGTAGGTAGAATGGAGCTAACACTTGTTTTTTGAAGTTCTGCGGGTCTTTTGATAGCCGATATGCCCAGCTGGTTTTGCTGCAGCCTAATTACTTGTTGCTGAGCAGTTGTAGCAGTTTCCTGCTTCTGAGGTCTCGCTTTGCCAAGGAGTGATTTGACCCCTTCAGCAATAACTTTTTTCGTAACGGAAGGTACAGTGACAGTCTTTGGTATATTTTTAGGCTTAGCCTGTACAACAAGTGGGGTTGAATTTTCCTGAGTGGATGTACTTGTTATAGTGATTATGCTAGGATCCTTTATAATAATTGTATTATCCTGAAATATATATATTTTTTTTTATTCAATACATGCCTGATATAAAATTAACCTCATACTTACAGATGATGTATCAGGTACTTCAATTTTCGTTATTGTTTCTTTCTTTGGTTTTTGCGGCTTCCTAGGTGCCTTAGGCTTCACAGTTTTCACATCAGCCCCTAGGGCATGAAGCCTCTCTGCAAAAGATACCATTGGTATTTCTTTTGGCATTTGGAAGGGTTTAATATATAATTTACCAAATTCTTCGGCACTTCGTCCCTTGTGAAGGTTCACCCAGATTTTTCTCTTTGCGTCGTATTTGACCGACGGATCGGGCTCCCCATGCAACTTGTCCAGAGTGCCGCTCACGACTGAGCTCAACATTCCTTCAGGAGCAGTCTCTGATAAATACTGTGAGTCTTTCAGCAGCGTAACAATATCAGCTCGTGTGCCTTGACCATTAGGCAGTCTCGATACTGCATCCCGTACTGTTAAAAGTTAAAAATGAGAAAAAACTCATTGGATTGGTTAGGTACTGTGCATATAAAAAAATACCTAGTTCAAGAATTGTAACAAATTTAGGCCTGTTTTCAACCAACAAAGTATGCCCCCTGGCCTTACTCAAATTGCCAGTTTGTATCGACCTGACTGGTCCAACAACTGTTTCAGTTCCACCAACACAATATGTAAAAGCTCTATACGGTGTCTCGTATCTTTGTTTTTCCTACAGTTAAGAAATAAATTAGTGATGGAAAATTTTAAAATTATGTTTTGACGTACCTGTTGCCGAAAGACTTCTCGGTCTCTAGGAGGAGTCGGTTGAACAGCAGGACCACGTGGTGCATGCGTGATCGCTTCAGTACCATCCTTGACAACCACAGGAATAATCGTGTTCGGAATACCACGGTCAGCGCCTCTTTCGAGCCAAAGGGTGCACAATGGGACCAGTCTGTGGTCCGAATCTCTTCCAGCACCAATCCACTGGTACGCACAGACCGTCGACTTCCACTCCATATATGGAACATAGTCTTCAGGTACAATTTCTAAAAGGAATAATTTCACATTTATCCCATGACTTAATTTTTAAGAAATAGATTCACTTGCCAGGAAGGTCGCCGGCCAGAAATTGGACAGCTGAATGAATCTGATTTTCAATCTGTGGTGTATACCAATGATTTATTGGACCTATAGGACTACTCGCCCAAGCCTTGATTCGAGCTTCTAGTTCTTTCATTTCTATCCTATGATCTGTTGTTGAAGTTAAAATATCTCGAATCAGAGAAAAGAAGCAAGCATGCGTCTCTTGCATCAATTCTGGATGAGGCCTAGCAAAAAAATGTCATTTTAAATCAAAAGAAAAAAAATGTTATGGAATGTATTGAGTTACTTTAATAAATATCTTTAAAGCATGTGGAATTATTAGTTTCAAATTTAAACCCTTGTTTTTTTTTTTTTTCAAATATTATTTACAACATTATTATTTACATTTACAACATTATCAAATATTCTTGTTTAAAATAAATTCTTGTTTCTTCTGAAATATACAGCAAAATAATTCTTGATTAGCTTGAATCATATTATTCCATCTTCAATTAATTGTGAATAGAAATAACGAGCATCACATTGTTTGATCTTCAACTTGACAGACTTTTAAGCATGCAATTTACATAATCATAACTTACTTCATATCGTCAAGGGACAAAGGAGATGATTCGTCAAAATCTACTGGCAGATCCATCATATCAATCCCATCGAGATCGGACAGAGTGGCAGGGGTCAACACTCTAGAACTGGTCCCAGGCAGTTTCAAAGGTGTCATGGAGAATATCGGTGGAGCGTCAGTCATCGGCGTTTCTACTTTTATACTCGCCACTGGTGGTTCGATGGGTTCCACTTTAATCTTTTTGACAACGGCAGGTACTTCGACTGGTTCTTGTTTTATCTTTTTGGCAATGTTTTCAACAGGTTCTGGTTTTGGTTTCTTTGGGACGCTCTCGGTCGAACTAGTCCTCGCTTTCCTCGGTTCAGGATCTGGAGGTTTTTTATGGGTTGGCGTGTGGGTCGGTGTGTCGGGGGGTTCTACTTTAACCCTTTTCGCCATAGTACTGGCTTTAGGAGTTTTGGGAGATGTACTGAAACAAAATCTCCTTTTTATGACATTCTTCACTTATACATTTCAAGGCCCGTTTTTTGTTTAAAAAATCTTGAACACTTGACAAAACTAAACGATATTAATTAAATACTCACATTTGATTATTGGAATTTGGTGTATTTCGCATAACAACTGGTAGCGGTGGAAGATCATTTACGCCTTCGATGTCAACCTTATCAATTTCAATATCTTCTTCCGGCTCACATTTCATATTGAGTAGAGTTGACATGTCATCCATATCACTCCCTTCCTCCTGATCTCCATCAACCTTAAATATATTTTATATATGACATTTGTTTATTAAACAAATTAAAACAGAATAGATTATTTACCACAGGACTAGATATTGAAGCAGTTCTCGCCACTTTCATTCTAACCTTTTTTGGTATATTTGGTTTACTATTTGTTACTTTTTTAAGGAACTTGCACCTCATTGCTATATCTTGCAAAGATATACCTTTCACAATAAGATCCGGATGATCCTAAAACATTATCCACATTAAAATTATCAGGAATGAAACATTATTTGTTATAATTTACTTCTCGTGCTGCTCTTCTTTTCGAATGTAATGCTATCATTTGGGAATAAGTGTGTTCATTGACAGCGTAAGGATTGCTTTGTGGTACTTTCCCTTGGTCCCATGGAGTAGGGCCAGAGCAGAGCGTACCGAGTACAGGTGGTATCCCATCGTTCAACAACTCCGGAATGTTGCCAGACCTCCGGCTCTTTTTATTCAAATTCAACGTTGGTCCTTCTGGGAAACTTTCATCCTCTGAACTCTGGCTCGACTCGCCCACTTCTTCCCTGATCAGGGCCAACTCTTGGAAATACCTGTTTTTGACATTCTGCGAATGGGACATCCTTGCCCTTTTAGCTGGCAATGGGCAAATTTTGGGTTTTTCACCGTTAACAACTGACTCGACTAGACGCTGACGGGATGCCAAAACTGATTTCACGAGTTCGAATATCCGCCACCGCTCCAACCGCCTGGAAATAGTATTAAAAATTATATGTAAAGACTGTCGACAATTCATATCACATATTACTGACTTGTAATCTTTAAACTGGGCCTTCCGCAGCAAAGACCTCATCCTGCTCATATCAGGACGATAATGAGCAGCTCTAAGATGGTTATAAAAATCCGTTAAAGGATTGCCAAATCTAATGTTCTCCCTTGCAAATAGCATTCGTAAAGTGGCATCCTTCTCTTCAGAATCCTTTTCAGGAAAAGTGGGTAAAAAATTCTGTACAAGACAAACAATTTTTAAATAAATATTATTTTATTTGGTAAACTTATTCAATTAACTACTATGGCAAATGTTTCTAATCCTTATTTTATATGCGTAAGCATTTATTTATGTATAATAATTGCTAATAAAATAATTTTGTCATTTGGTTATTTCAGGTCATTTTTTATCTGCACTAAGTTAGTTACTTCGTAAGTTACTTTCGGACTGTGGTAGCAAAGTGATTAGAGCATCAGACACTCAGCTTGTAGACCATATAATGTTGTGGATTCAATTCCCACCTTCCCACTTGGAATTTTTGACCCATCCCCCACCAAAAAAGTCATCAAAATACAACTGAGACTTGGCTAATATGGTAAAAAAAAAGTTAGATACTTCAGCAAGAAGCCTCGGGCAGACCAAAGTTATTGGATAATACCCAATTACACGTTCGCCGCCCAGCAGACCTTATGAGAAAATTTCATAATATTTTTTTAAAACAAAAATACGTAAGTTTTCTATTTTCACACTCAAATGGACAAATTTCAAGCTATTCAAATGGACTACTAGAGCAGGATCAATTATCCGTATTCTCCTATGAATAATTAATCTTTGTGGAACATCAAATATTGTATGGTAGTCTATTCTACAAATAGTCGAAATATGTTATAAATAAAATGAAAACAGTTTTACATACAGTCCTTATATTTAAAGATGGTCTCCTTCTTGACTTAATCATTGATACCTGAGGAGAGATAAATTGATTGGTAAGAAGTAAATTGTCTTTTTCACAATAGGAATTTACCAGAGAAGTTTCGGCCTAATATAGACCACCTCCGGTGATTTTTTTTTTTTTCTTTTTTAAATAAAGTGGTTTAACCATTTGTATTGGAACTGGAATGTAACCAATGTATTTCTTTTTAGCGAATTTAACTTTGGAATTCCAAATAGCCCATTCTTTGCAAACTACTCACCATATCCGTAGTCATCTAGATATGCACTTTTAAACCTAAACTATGTAACAAAAGGTCAAACCACTTTATTTTTTAAAAACTTCATTAAAGATAGTCTATTTTAGACCGAAACGCCTATTGTGAAAAAGACACTTTATTTCCTACCAATCGACTTATTATGGAGTTCCACAAAATTAGGATAGACTCAATCAGAAATTTTGAGTAGAAATAGATATAACAAAGGTACATGAACTATGATTTTGTAATAAATTGAAGCCTAGATGGTCAGAACATACATACAAAAAAAAACTTCGATATGATTTCACTGCTTTCACACACAATTTTAAAAAAATTAAATTAACTATTTTATTCCACTTTCTCTGCTTTTTGACCGAAGCATACGTTTTCTGCAGTCTTCAAATAAAATAATGTTTTTTCCTATCAATAGAGTTTTGCATAGCACAGAATAAGTGAAAATCTGAAGTGGCAATTTCAGGGGCAGCACATCCCAGCCCAGTCAAGTTTGAACAATGTCTGTTGCATTTGTATGGCATCTGTGGGGACGAGGGTTGTCCTAGTGGAAAACAATCCTCTTGCAATTAATAATGTTGGTTGTTTTGAGTCTAATGCTGAATGTAATCACTCCTATTGTATGAGCATACACTAGAATTAATCCGGTTTGGTTAGGCGGAAGAAGCTTACAATAAATCCTTCCAATTCCACCAAATTCAGAACACCTTCTTGAGAGTATACCGGCTTTCAAAGTTGTTAACAGTTGATTGCTATGTTTTCTTCAGAATTTTCCCCTCTAAATAAAGTTAAAAGGGCACTCTTGATCTAAATTCTTGTCAGACAATATGTAAGGACCACTGGGACAAAAATATCTGCTGTCAGAAGTGTTGAAACGATCAAAGAAAAAAAATGAACAAAGGACAGGAGCACAGAATATGTGAGAAGAAGCAGAACTTCCGGAAAAAAAAAAAAGTAGCACTTAGGAAAGGGTGAAGAAAAGTATGCAGAATTTCTTAACAGCTCTGACAAAACACAAAATTTAATATATGAATTAATCTTATGGGGACTAATATCAGTGCCCACAATCGATATGAAAGGGTTCTATTACATAGGAATTTAAAATGTATATAAATCCTATCATTTTTTGCTGTGGAATGCAACACTGTCCATTAAGAGAGGTGGTTACTATGGATGGGGGTTGCCTGTACAGAGGAGTTTCATTGTATTGTAACAACTGGCTGCTGCTATTGACAAGGTTGCAGAACTGAAGATTCATTTTCTACAATCCAGAACAAAGCCAAAGGAACCAGAAAACCCCACATTGACTTTTTTAAGTTTAATTACATACATACATGTCAGGGGTGAGAAAAAGAAAATTTAACCTATTCAGGACGGTGAGCTTAATATTGGGCTGTATATTTTCCTAGTGACGTACTGAAAGTAAGGCGCTTAGTCTCTTCTCTTTTTGTCTAAAGTTCAAAGAAGCATTGTGCTGCTTAAAATAGTAAACAACGGTATTATATTTCCTAATTTTCCTAAAAAAATTAAAAAGTCTAGATAAATTACATCAAATTGATATCTACATTCAACAGCACATAATGGACCAAATTACATGGATGGAATATATTAAGAAAGTGTTGTCCTTGAATAAGCCGGTATCTGACTAGATGAAGATTACGACGAGGAAGTGGACAACACATCGGATCTTTATATTAAGGTAAGTCTGTGTCTTAAATGTTTCGTCTTATGTCAGCTTATCGTCTTAGGATTATCATTACCAGAATAGCTGACAACCCCCCCCCCACCAACAAGTTGACACTGTAATCAGACGAGTTGACCAGTTCCCAAATTTTGGATACACAAATATATTGTAATTTGTCACGTAATCAGACTGTACCGTCAAAGAGGAATCATCACTACCATGGTCCACAATGACCGTTTTGCCATCAATCTTGTTCAACGATGATAGATTAATCTGATTTTGGGCCTAACATTGCAAAAAGTCAGCGTGGCAAATTCGATAACTGCACGCAGTTACCTTGAGGTGCTGTCGTTGCTGTTCGGAGAAGCTGTGCCAGGTGTCGAGCGAAAGCAGCTCCTTGAAGACTTCGGCATTGTCGCAGAGGCCCTGCGGTAGGAGGAGGCTCTCGCCACCCACCCTCACCGCTTCCATCCTTGGTGAGGACGTAGAGTCCTCTGAGAACGAAGAACCCGTCTCATCCGAGTCGGAGCTGCTCCAGTTCTCCGCGGCCCAGGCCTCCATCTTATTCTTTTCCATTGATCTGCAATCATTATCACAATTAATTACATTGATAAATGTTAAGGTTATAACCATTAAGATAACGTCATTTTGTTTACCAAGGAAGGTAATGTACCCGGGTCCGATATAAATTATATCGAGGGTAAAACATTTTAAACTATTGCCCTCCTGGGGCAAATCAAGTGATATACCGGCTCGGAAAATTATCCTATAACCTAAATTATTTTAATGGAATTGCAACCGACCGGGGGGTAGGTGCGCGAAATTGTTCGGATATACATTTCACAGGGATTTTTTGTAGGAAAGAGGCGTCGATTTGCCAAGGCAGGGGACGATGAGAAAATTTGCCCACTTACCTCACATCCGAGTTGTTTCAGGTTTTGTCTAAATAAAGAACGCTGGCCGACATTGTTTTGCTACCTTCATTCAGCAAAATAAACTCTCGTTTCAAAGAAGACATAGCGGAGGGAACGGGAACCATCAAAACCTACATTTTATACAAAACAAATCAAAAGATACGTCCATGCCAGAATAGCAACATTGTTACAGCGCTCCTAACGGAATTTACAGTAACTAATACGCAAAGAGTTTCTCAAATTTTGCCGGAAAATAAATTGTACAGAATACAATTTAAATTCAGAGCCCTTCATTCATTAATTGATGAAATAATGAACACTTACAAAAAATATCAAGGCCTCTTTCTTTATATTAACTATAAATGTGTTTCTTAGTGACCTGTTGTTTCTTAATTCGTTAAAGTCGTGAGGAGCGGTCAAGAATGTTGTAGTTTAGAAAACACCTTTTTAATTTTTTTGCCGACGTTTCGACTTGCATTCCGGTCATCTTCAGCGCCTGGATAAATTACAAAACATAAGTCTATTGGAAAAAATACAATTTAAGGTGTAAATATAAATTTTGAACCGAGTATTTCATATTCCCATAAAGCGTCATGCTATTCTTATGGTCTCATATTGGTTTTGTGTGAAAGTGTTGTGAAACGTGAATTATTATTCTGCTGTTTTTATATGATTGGATGAGAGTTGGGAGACACGGTAAATATGGGAAATTTTGTTTTATCATAGGCAGTTTTATTTAACTCAAAGGAAGTCGAGAATGGGGATTTTCTGGATTGGATTTGTGATTCGGCATTCAGTATTGGAAAGGAAGTTAATTATTAAGGACGATAAGGAAGGAAAGGAAAATATAAAATAAAGGTTTAATAATTTATTTGCTTTCTGATGTTGGCATAGCTACATGTAATGTAGGCTGAGTTTGCATGTTCTGTAATTAATGCTGTGTGTGTCTGTGTTAATATAAACCATTTCTAGAAAGTTGTGTTTGTTTTTTTCCGTGTTAAAATAGCTTTTAAAAACCATAAAACAGTATGTACACTTTTTTCCAAAGTTAAACACCTTACACCAACAGCCTTCAGATTTCAACAAAATTCAAATTCTACACTAAACAATTTTTTTCGATACATTTTTAAAAATAAATAAATAAAATAAAAACTACTTTTTATGAAAGTGTGTTTTTGGGGGTGTCTACGTCTATGGAATAAAGCGGATCAAGATGCAAAATAAATTTTACCAGCAACCTACAGAATAATATAACAACAGTAATATTATCAATATATGATAAAATAGATTTTTATAATAATATAATAAATAATAATAGAAATCATCATATGTAAGGTTTCCGTTTTATTTAATTGTACGACCACGTTGCTAAAGCCAAATATTCATTTTAATGTTGTGAAATGTTCTAATAGTTTTTAATAGTTGTTAATTTTTATTTATAATTTATATTTACATTTTTATATATCAATAGTATTGTTTATGCCTCAAAATAAATAATAATCCAGCGCAGCCCTGAAGATGTCTATATGTACAATGAATTGTCCTGCATTTGGGAATTTTTCTTATTCTGACCTAATTATAATTACACATATGAAAAAAAATGGAATGAAATTGAAATTTTTTATAAGTACCAAAATTTTAGAAAATACTTTTATTTATTTTTAAATTTTATGGCCGGTAAACTACATTGGTTATCCCCAGCCCTCTCTTCCTTAGCTTTACAGTTTTCTTATCTTTATCACGTATTAATACTACTAAATTCTTTTTCTGTTTCTTCAGATGAGTTTCGATATTTTATGGTACAATGGTAATAAACTCTTTTCTTTATCCTATTGCTAACCTCTCTGTACCTCAGGGCCTCCTTAATTGTGGACAAAATAAGACAAATAACGAACACAAATACACTGAAACGAAATAAAAACGTGATAGTCTGGTTGGCATTCTCAGTAGCACAGAATACTCGATATTCCTATAAAAACTAGGGGTAATTTTGGATTAACATTTTCATTCACGCTAATAAATTACACTCACACATTCTATCACTCTACCACGGAGCACTTGGGGCAACTGGGAATAAACCCTTCCATTCATGCTAATTAATTACGGGCGGATTGTTTTTTCCGTATGATGGCTGTCTTTATATTTAAAAAATAGAAGCTCCAATTTTTTATAGGTATTTACTACGTTTATTATGTAAATACGTATTTATATCTTTTTTAATTTTGGCCAGCAATAAACATTGAATAATGGAACAAAAATACAGTTTAAATTGAATTTTGAAAAAAAATTAAATTAAGGCATGAATTAAAAAATTTAATTTTTATTGCGAAAATATTGTGTCATTTCAGTTATAATAAATGATTTATGTTTATTGAAATGCCAAACAAGATTGTTAACCAGAAAGGGAAATACCTTAAGTTTCGTTTGTATCTTTTCCGCAAGATGGCGGTTAAGATTCATACCTTAAAAACCTACTTCCCAAGCTTGACAGTTTAAAGTTAAAACGATTTTAGAAAAAAAGTATAATAGTTAAAACAATTTAGGCATGTTAGTTTAATAGTTTAAACTTTTTCGAGATATAAAAAAAGATAAGGGAGGTCAATTAAGGGTGTTTGGGAGGGGGTTCGCGCCTATTTTTCATTTCCCCGCCCTTGTGAGGTTTTCGCCCTTCTGTTTTCGTGGCTCGGCAGTCGTGTCCTAGACTTTCAATTCTAATCATCGGACAATTTACGCCCGGATAGAGAAAAACGACTCTTCGGTGAGTACAAAAAACCTGTTGATCTATATAAATCGTGGCCATCGCTCAGGTAACGGGGGCGGACTTAATACGTGCTTAGTTATTAAGTTATGTTGATAAAAATCTCACCTCTCGTGCTTCACCATTTCCAATCCGGGTTCGTTTCAAAACGGTTCGCGATTTCCCGGCCTAGCTGAGAAAAGAGAACGGCAGAACCGGCTGAACGGCTATGGCTGAATAAACAACGGCAAGACTATAAATAAAACGTTTTATTTATAAAAAAAAAATTGTTTTTTCCATATGATGGCTGTCTTTATATTTAAAAAGTAGAAGCTTCAATTTTTTTCTGTCGATATTTTTCCGCTTTATGATGGTCTTGGAAAACCCTGAGCTGCACTAATTAAAACACTAATTGCATCATGTGATTGTATTTATTACAAAAACAGCCGGGTTTACAAAAACAGTCATAGTTATATTTGAGTAATTTGTATAATTTAGCATTGATAAATTTTTGTTTACTAAATACTCTATTGAAAAAATAGGTTAAATCGTTTAACGATTCTTTTATTCAGTGGTTGTTTTGAACTGCAGGTAACCTACTTTTCATTTAAAAAAATCAGTTTTAACCGATTACATAAATTAAACATATGTCAGCATGAGTTGGACGCAAAAAAGCAGTTTAACTACAAAATTTCTACATTTGGAAGTACCAGGTCTTCTAGAAAGCCCTTTGAAGTGTAAGAAAAAATCCTTAAAAATGTTAACAATTGGCTTTACTTTCCCACGACAAGAAACTAGGTCTTTAAAAACGAAAAAATGAAAAAAAAACAACTAATTTAGTAATTCTCAAAAATAGTTAAATTCCAATTCAAGACATTAATAATTTGCAAAATATTTGTGCCTAAAGCCCATGTATGATCATCAGTCGTGCCTGAATCAAGATCAGAAGAAAAATCTGAAAGGCTATCCGAGCCATTGTAAAATTTTGTGCCTGGCGGGATTGGGAGTACCTGAACCATTTGATCGCTTCGAAATGTCTCGCTTGTTAAACTGACAGAAAAAACAAAGCACCACATCAATGCAGTTTTATCACTTGTATTCAGATTGTAGGAATAACCTGTGCATGTTTTGGCGTCCATTTTTGTTCTGTTAGCTGTGTCAGCTTATCTTGACACTCTCGCAAAATATTTGGCATTTTGCCTTTTAGGACTTTGATTCGAGACAGCAATTTGCAAAATATTTTTGAGTTTTCCTGCGTGGTCAGTTTATCTGTCAATTTGCCTGAATCCTGAACGGAAGAAAAACCTGAAAGGCTATTTGAGCTGGGTGTAAAAAAAGAAGAGTGGAATAGGATGTGGTAACATATGTAAACTTGCTTGCAGAATTTGGCGTTGGAAGAAAGACCCCAAGTTTCATGAAGGGGCCCTAGTATGGTACACTGATGGATCTAAAATAAGGTTAAAAGGGCCGAATTACACCCTAGCAAAATCCCTTGGACTTGTACCTTCTATGTTTCAAGCTGAGATTTGTGCAATTCACCTCTATTGACAGGCATTAGTAATGAAGAAAATGAAAGGTGCATAGGTGTACATAATTGAGAAACCAGAATCAGCGCATATCCTTCATGAACGTGAAACACGTTAACCTGGTTTTCTCTCACCATTCTCACTCAAAGAAAAGTTTTAAAGTTTTTTTAATCATGGGGAATTTGATCATTGTAGAACTATATAGGTCGCAGTGGAGAAAAGATCCTTACTTGATCCCCCCCTCAATAAATGTAGAGACTTTCTATTCATTGTGGTCATCTCAAAATTTATCATCAGTTGACCAGATTGACAATCGCTTGAACAAACTGTCAGTTCACAAAAGGAACTTATGTCTCAGAGCTGGGTTGAATGAATGCCATTTGTTTGATCATATATGACTGATATCTTAAATTACTTCAGTTGGTGTTTCTGAAATTGACACAAATGAAAAACTGCCTACAACCCCCCTCCCCAGTTTATCTTTTAGTTTACCTTGATCCAGATCGTAGTTATTAACTGAACATTTTTTCCATTAACTGATCTTGATGTTGTTTCTTTACTGATGCAAAATGCAAACGTAATCTAGTTGGTTCTGTCATAAATAGATATCAACTCTTTCTGAAAAATCTACTATGTAAATTATCTAAATATTGAATTATTTACATACTTCATCAAGCAATTTACATTAAAAAAGTGGCAAAAATTTTAATTTTTATGTTTTCAAATTGCCCTGTTCATGGTCGTAAAAAAGTTGTTCCACATGTCTCATGAATATATAACAGATTATTTTATAAGTATTTTGAAATTGAATTACTTTTTTCTGATATTTTGATGGGCCCTAAATTAAAATTTACTGGTATTTTTACACCTTCCTGGTGTCTGAGTCTGAGTGTTATTGTTTAGGGATGATCAAACAATAAGACTGGTTTAAAAAAAAAAATCACATTATTGTGTGTTTGCAGTGGGCAAGGGATTTAGAATTTGATAAATATTTGATTTGATAAATCTGACTGAAGTCAGATTGAATTCATTACAACGATATGGCCAACTTTAGATATATCTGTATTTACATGAAGCTTTTATTACTTTTCTGCGAAAGAATAAAATTGGAAGACATGGAATGTATTAAAAAAACTACAGATATGAGTTTGTTTCTAATTGAGATTTGTATTTCTGTAAAAAAAAAAAATCAAGAACATAGGTTTTAGACATGATTTCAAAGTATGAAGATGACTAATTAAAATAAATTATAAAACTGCCAATAATATATATTTAATTATTTCTGTTATTGTGCGTTTTAATAGTAAAAATATTGGCTTTTGTTCCTTGAATTTGTACAATTTATTTAATATTTATAAATTTTAATGTGATATGTCAATATTTTTGTTATTATGACACGTGTAATTCTGCCTATATACAATTTAAGGTATTATATATTGAAAGTACATTGTTACAGTCATTCTTTTGTGTAAGTCAACAAAAGACTAGATAAGTAAAAACCTAAATTTAAAGCGAATGACTCAAAATGAGGTAAAGCAGTTCAAATGAAAAATAGTATTATTTACCCAATATTAATACAAAACCACCAACACCTTGATAGATTTTTAAGGCTTATTTTACTATATTGAAAGGAAATTAATGCTAAAAATTATACTTTACACTGTTTGAAACTAACTGAAAACTCATATAATAAACTAACTGAATACTCATGTAGTAAAGTACCATATCAAAAAAACAAACTTAGGTATGGTAAATTTCATAAAAAGATTTGACAATCCTAAACAATGACTTACAGAATCTTAATATAGCTTAATAACATAATAATAAATATTAATAAGGGTAATATAAATCGAGAAAACATACAATACTAATATTTACAATGTTTTCGTTAATAATTACATTTAACTGAAAGACAGACTAATAGAAGTGTTAAGACCTAAATATGCTTCTTATTAACTCTATTAAAGACCTTCATTTAGGATAACCCATCAACAGTATTAAAACATTTCTGTTTTAATTTCTTTAACATTGTTATCTTATTATCTTGGTATATTCTTTCCCAAATTAAGCCACAGATTATATAAAATCAATTCTTGGTATTTTAACTCTAAATAAAATGATTAATGAAATGGACCAACTCATATTTTTGAGTCAATTATAATTTCATCACCACTGTTAATGTTATAGCTGTACAATTGTTTGTTAGGAAACTTCATTTCTTCTGGTCCGTGGATGGCTTTCATGTCCTGGTCAACATAAAACAGCTTCATCTTGGAAACAGGGATATTTGCAAAAGACTCGAGTCTCTGTTTCAGCTCACTGACAGTCTGATAAACATCCAATAGCCTATTTTCGGTTTTTGCTCCACAAATAACATTTATCTTGACTTTCCTTTCTGGTGAGAGGTCTATATTGACTAAAGGATCCAGCCTTCCGTGCAAACAGACTAATTCATTATACCTGCAAATAATAAGGCGTTAAAATTGTATTTTGGGGTTATGTGTGTTATAAAAATAATATTGAACCTCTCAGGTCGATCACTTTCAGGCTTGTCCATATACCGCCTGATGAAAGCCCTTTCTGCATCTTCTCTATCATCATCTGTGATGACGCCACCACCATTTAGGGTTCTGATATTTGGTAACCTTGCTATAAGCAACTGTCGCCTTTCATGTTTTGTATATTCTTGAGGATACTGCAAAAAGATTGTTATCATCAGGTTATCTAATCTATACGGAAGAGGAAAAGAAGATTTAAATGCATCTCTATCTTAAGATCATTGTGACAATTTGTTATAAAGACATTTAACCATCTTGCTTTAGCATGGTGAAAAGTAGAAGCAGTAAAAAATCGGAACAATATAAAGTTGTTACCTCAAAAAGAGGAAGTCCATGTATCCTCAAGTGTTCAAGTGATGGAAAGCAGGCTAGCCTGTCGATGTCATCCCAGGATGAAAGGAGTGTGTTGTTCAGATTGAGAAATTTCAAATTCCTGAACCAGTGGTGTGGAGAATCTACGTTTCGACAGTGGCCCTCACATTCACTTTCAGACCTAGAATAGGAATTGGCTCTTTCTGGCGAAGAGCTGGGTGAGGTGACATCAAGTGTGGTGATAGGGCAGTCTGCTAGGATTAGCGAATCCAGATTGGGGAAGGCTTGGCCTAATTTTGAAATTTCCCTCCAGGAGGAAACCGTATTGTCTAACAAGAAATTATATTTATAGAATTCATTAAAAAAAAATTAAAATAGCACATTTCTACCTGTAAAGTATAGCTTCGTAACTCCTTTATGAATTGCTGTATCCTTCTCCAAATCTTCAAGCTCTATGTAGCTGTAGCCGTTAAGGCTAAGGTGAAGCTCTTCCAAACTGTAAATAAATTTAAAATAATTAAATGTTAGACTCTGTGTTGTAATATTGAAGTAACTACCTTGGAAGTTGTGTGATAAGTTTTCTCACGCTGGGCCATTCAATGTAGGTACCGTTTAATATGAGATTTTTCAACTGAGGAAAACCCCCTTGTAAATGTTCATCACACAGCCCTTGCTTGAGAGTATTAAAACTCAGATTGGCAAACTGCAATCTGGGCATGATCCTTAAGATCGTCATGACCTGCACCGAGAGATTAAATTTAGCGACTTGATTAAAAAAAAAGTGAGTCAACGCACCTCTGTCCATTGCGACAAGGAATTTTGTGCGAGATCGAGTTCTTGTACATTTTGGCACTTGGTCCTGAGGTGTTCCTCACATCCGGCTGAATCGATCCCAAAATCGTTGAAGACGAGTACGTGTGGTATGAAGTTGTGCTGCTTCCTCGGAACGTAAAGTATCGGGATGTCCAATTCACAATCTTCCACCTCTCTTCCGTACTTCGCTTCGATTCCTTCAAGTAACGATGGCATCTTGGCAGCCTGTCAACAAATATTAACTGATTTACCTCCAAAAATTTTAAAATTGACACCTTTCCAAAAAACATTGCATAACATTGCAACTGGCACCCACAATAGTTTTGAACATTAGCAAAACAAAGAAAATAATAACAATTCAAACATCTAAGTCCTTGTAAAGTTTAAATTATTGTTCCTGTACTTATTCTTAGTCGTACAACATCCAAACAATCGCTTTAATAAATCAAAATCAACGAGGCTAGAACGGACCTTTATTTCATAACACGGACTAATAAACCTTAGAACTTTAATGTTTCACAAATAGTTTGAAAATCATTCATTCAAAAATCCAAAAACTTGTTTTGCTTTTCGGTTTAAAGGTTTAATTATTCTAATCTCTCTTATTTTATTTATTTTTTTGAAGGTGGTTAAAGAAATTTTCTTTCAAATTTCTTTCGGGATGCAGTGCATTTTTTCAAGTACGCGTTATATTTCCGCAAAATACTCTACTTCAAAAAAAAAAAAATTAATTCAAAAGAATAATGTAAAATTAAAGAATTTTCCAGAAATAAACCATGTACTTTACAACGGCACAATATACCGAAACGTATATTTTAAAATTTCTTTATCATCTCCCAAAAAAGGCCTAAAAATAATAAAATTAAACCATCCATACAAAATAAAAATAGGACGACAAAAGCCAAGAAAATAAGAATATTCAAATGTTGATTTTAACGCAGCAATAATGGACTTCAGTTAAATTTAAAAACAATTTAAAAAATACAATATATTTGCATACTTAAAAAATCAAAATTACAAAATGTTCTGAAATTATAATTTTTTAACAGTATCGTGGGTTAAATCCAGTGTAATGGATCCATGTCCAATAAATTTTGTATAACAAGTGTAAATAAATACATTATTCTTTTTCCAAATAATTTTTATTTAACTGTTTACGGATTTGACTTGATTGATAATATATTTTTTTCTGTGTGAAATGTGACGGAATATCATGAAAATCAATGCATCGCTTATAGTTATAAATGTGAAATTGTCTTTGCTGGTTGTTAGCTAGTAAAAGAAACAGCGAATACGGGCGGACCCGAAATGGCCAATTTTTTACTGTTCAGAACACGTGCCAATTCTTACTGCATGAGGACGATTATCAAAGGCGAAAAGTAATATGCCGTCCGATACTATTTAAACCATTCCACTTGGGAGCAAATAGGCCACATCCGTTAAATAAATAATAAAACAAGATACAAAGGCAATGCTTAGTAACACACTCGCTAAAATCACTTCGCATGATTTAAGGTTTATAAAGGTTATGATTTTTTCTCGCCTTTTTTGTAAAAACTTGTTCAAACTCCGGTTTCGTATGCCAAGTCCCCTCCCCAATGAAAGCAATTAGAACCTTCATTTTGTACTGTAATGCAAATTGAAAATTATGGGAATATTAGAAAAAGCTATTAACAAGCATCAGATCATGGATTATGTACTATTTTTTCAATCGTTGTGAAGAATGAAAGGCTTTAGGGGAAATTGAAAAAAATCAAATGATCATAGGGTGCTAGATTTAATTGTTCAAATGACAAAGTTGCTTCTACATAGAATTTACCCGATCAAATTTATTTAAAGAAAGCCTATAAATAATAAGTTTCTTAGAAAAAATTGAAATACCAACTTAGCCAATAACAAAATAAAGTCGCTAACGTTTGGTTAGGTCGATATAGAAAGCAATACGAGATTATTCAACCTTTTTCCCTAAAACCAGAACTGGTTTCCCTAATTTGTCTCTTAATGTTGTTTAACTGTAATTATGTTGAAATAACATGTACTGGGGATAGGCCAAAATATTCAGAATTAATTTGACATTAGGTTTAAATGAAATATACAAGACCGAATTTGATTCGTGATGAAGCGATTTTTTTCCCCAAAAAACTAAAACTGGTTACCCTAAATTTTCTCAAATAATTTACATTTCCGAGATTAATCTAGTTTAATGTTGGAAACACAAGCAAAATTTACTGAGGGAGTGCTAGCTAACATTTAGAAATAATTTAACGGGCTTATCGAAAAAAATAGAAATATACAAGTCAGAATTTTTGATTTATGATGAATCTCATCATCATCTCAATCTTTTTCCTCCCCTAGACACAAAACTGGTTACCCTATTCCGTCTCAAATAATTCACATTTCAAAGATTTAACTATTTTAATGTTAAAAACAAGGACCGTCGGTGGACGCAACGGTTAAGCCAAAGAAGCGTCGCTCAAAAGACCCGGGTTCGAATCCAGTGGCTCTGCGTCCAAACCCGGCACACTTACAAATGTTTTTTCCCCCAAAAAAACACTGGCACAACGAGGGTTCATATACCAACCTAGTTGAAATACCCTGGGGGGGGGGGATAAAACACAAGGCAAACATGTACTTTAGAAGGAAGATATTAAAAAATTGACCTAGGTTTAGCCAAAAAATTGTTGAAATATAGAAGACAGAATTTGATTCGTGATGAATCGATCCCCTCCCCCCCGAAAAAAATGTTCATCCTAAATTACAGGAGGGGTCAAAATATTAAAAACAACCCCCTAAATTGGCTCAAATAATTTACATTTTTTCTTATTAATCTAAGTTTTATTAACTTTAACCTACTTTAATGCCAAAAGCACAATGCAAAACATGTACGGGGGTTAATAATTATAAATAAAACGTAGCGCTTAATCAGGAATATTTGAAATTAATTACTTTATATATTTGATCAATAAACTTTATTATTATTAATTGAAATATCCCAGACAAATTTTGATTGACAGAAAACTTAGTAATCGTTAAAAATTTTTTTGCCAAAATCACAATTTGAATTTTTTCAAACAATTCTCCTAGTTATTATTTAAGTTTGTATTTTTGAGTTGTTTGTTTTAACTTAAAAAAATACCATGCCGTACGAGTAATTAAACCTTTTTCATGACGATAAAGTTTTATGAGTTTCAACCCATTTTAATGTGGAATAGAAAGCAAAAAATGCTCAGAAGTAATTTGACGTTAGGTTTAATCAAGAAATAATTGAATTACATATACAAAACAGAATTCGATTAGAGGATCGCACCAAAAAATGTACGAACTTTTAAATCTTTATCTTAGATAAACTAAGGTCCGAGCTGTCTTCCCCAGGACAACATATTTCAGAGAGTATTGTTATTATTTAGGTTTTCTTACGCAATGCACAAAACTACATTAATCAATAAATAAAACTAATGCAGGTCATTTCTTGACAGTGTTTTTATGCCAGTTTTTTTAAATCAATGTATTGCGTTTTGTAATGTAAGGTTGAATTGTATTTCAATAGAATAATAATAGTCTGTTTTTGACTTTCAAGTCGTTTGAAATGACAATTATTTAGCTATGTGTTGTAATCATTCAATAATCAATATTTAGCCTTACATTTATTCAAAAGTAAAAAGACGGTTTAATCCTTTTTTTTGCATCGAGGTGAAGAGGGGTGTGTGGAAGGGGAAATGTTACGGATTAGCTTTGCCAACTCTCGTCGGAAGCACAACGCAATAATCATAACGGTACCGCTGACAAGTGATTTTCCGACGATGGCCCCTTTGTCGAATAAAACAAAAAAGGAGACACTTACTGCAGGGAAATTGTATTTTTTTTCTCCCGAGGCCCGTGAACAACAAAGGAAACGTCAATCAGTGGAATATAGGCCAACGGACGTCGCAAAAGGTCAGAAGTGATGTACAAAAAACGGCAAGGGAGTGTCACTCACCAAACTTTTTAGCCTACAGCGGAAAGCGTTTCACCATGGATACGGGCGTCTCGGGCACTGTTTTGTTTACAAGGCACAGCTGTGAACTGACTCGTTGGTGAAAACTGTCAAGAGAGAGCCACTGCGCAAGGTCGCCGTCTCCCTCTTACTGCGCGTCAATATAGGATGAACCCTGATCTTCGGAGAACAGTCAGAACTTATCCGACTCACGGTACACTAATTCTGCTGATTATATCAGCTCTGTTTACAGGCCATTGAGCGAGCCGACAGTGGCAGACTGCATTTTTAGTCCTGAGGATCGTATAACCCGAAGGCGTGTGTCCCTTGATGATATGACATACCATTAGGGGAGAGTTTGAAAGAGGGGTTTCTGTAAACATTGATATAATGCAGAGAAGATCTAAAAGTGGCTATAAATGGAGAGAGTAAATATGTAAAACTATAAGATAGGCCAAACATTATGATAACAACAAAGGTGTCATACAATATCGATTTTGTATTTTGGTCATTTCTGGACATTTTTCTCTCCACGTCTTAGATTTATGTTTATTCGAGCTCCTTTTATAAGTTCACATTGACTGTTTAATGACAAATCTTTAAGAAATTGGAAAGACAAAAAGAAAGAAAATAACTCCGGAGGAATCAAGTAACATCGATTTTTATGAAATAAGCCAAGCAAAATTGTCGATTTCATTACGTATCACGCAGCGATTAACCACTATGATGATAGATTAGTACTCTATTGTTAAATAATAAAATAATAAAGTACTTACTTTTTGTTTTAAATAAGATTTGATTTTTTTTTACAAGAGTTTCACAATTTTGATAATAGACAAAGCGAAAAAAATCAATAGTTCTTTCAAGTTTGTTACAATTCTTTTGTTAGTCGGTATGTTAAACAAAGTATGCTTTTACAATCTCGTTTACAAAACAATACACGTTTTGTGCCAGGGGTATATTCTTTACTTCCAAATTTTGAGAAATATCTATAGACAGATGGATCAGAGATTAGTTTTTTAATAATTTTGCAAACTTTGAGCGAATTCTGTTGATTAGTTAGGGATAAATTAAGGAAAGTAAATGCTTTTTGCGGCGGTCCTTCACTAATGATTCAATCTCCAGATTTGCATACCTTCTTTCGGATTATTTTGATATTGACAAGTTTTATTAAATATGGGGTTGTGCTTTTAAATTCCATGAGGCACTTAAACCCCAGATGAGAATTCCTTGCTTTTGAACTTGGTATAAA